AAAGTATATGTGAACTGCTGTATGAAAAGTGAATTTACTCTGTAAATCTTCACCCAAATCCTAATAAAAAAAAAAAAAAAACATAAGTTGGTCTGTACCTTAACCACGAAGTTATTTCTAGGACATTTTCCTAAAGAAATTATCTACAATATGGTATGGATGTATATGCAAAGAATTTGTTCCTTGTTGTTTGCAATAACAAATAAAACATGGAGAGAAAAACAAACTAAGTATGTCTATATAATGGGATATTATGTAATCATTCAAAATAATGTTTGAAAAGAACATTTTAAAATGTGGGAAATGCTCAAAATACAATGTCAAGTGAAAAAAGCTAGGTTAAAACTGTAGTTACAGTGTGATATCAGCTCTGCATGTATCTATTTCTAGGAATATATATATGAATAGAAAAAGGATAGGAAGGAAATATACTAAGATGTTAGGAATTATTGCTGAATGATAGTATGAATTCCTTTATACTTCATATTTTATACTTTGTATTTTCCAGAAACCCAGGAAAAAATAAATTCTATATGTATTAAAAAACCAAACTCACTACCATCAAGTTGGTTCCGACTCATAGAGACTCCCATTGGGTTTCCAGGGCTTTAAATCTTAATAGAAATAGATCGCCCAACTTCCTTCCATGGAGCAGGCTGGTGGGTTTGAACCACTGACCTTCTGGTCAGCAGCCAAATGCCTTATGCACTAAGCCACCAGAGCCCCTTACTATATGTATAAAATAACTATAAAAGGTAAATGTTGTTTGTAATCAATTACATAGAGTTGACCTCACATCTCTTGTCTTTGAATCCTGCAGGAAGCCAAGGGATGCCAGGGATGCCGGGGCTGAAGGGTCAGCCAGGCTTCCCAGGACCTTCAGGACAGATAGGATTGCCTGGACCTCCAGGACAGCGTGGATTCCCCGGAGCTCCTGGCCAAGCAGGACCCTTGGGACTACCAGGTGCCCCAGGCCATGGAGGTAAGATTGCTGCCCTCCCATAAAGGAATCAGGTCCCCACTAGCTACTGACAACTGAACTAGCACCACCCTTCTGTGACAGGAGTCCTCAAATGATGCTCTTATGCCTGGGTTCTAAAACCAGGACATACATTCCACCAAACAGGGAAGACATTGTTCATCATTTGTATCTGTTGTATATATTGGGGTTCTAGGGAAGATTTCATTAGGGAAAAAAAAATCTCACTGCAGAGTTCAAAATCACTGCTTCTGTTTGTAGAAGAGAAGTTAATATTTGTTTCTTGAAAGTTGAATGACTTGAGGAAATCAAAGGAAGTACTTAGTTCAGGAAAATATGAGGGTGAGTTAAGTGTAAAAGCGGGGAATGCAAGGAGATGAAACTGTAGCCCTTTTTGGGAGATTCTGGACAGAAACACGCAGCGCATCACACAAAGGCTAAAGTGGGTGGCAGGGGTGCTCGGAAGGAAGTCATGGGCCCACACATCCACCAGACATTGCTGAGATTGACTGAGGGCTGCTGAATACCCCCCTCTATGTTAATCCCCAAAGCACTTAATGCTCCCTGACCTCTTAACATAGCTGTGGTCTCCAGACTTGTGGATCTCATGGACCATATGAAATCTCTAATACAATTCTGGGTAACCAATAAGGGTTTTCTAACTTTTTATTTTGCCAAATAAGAGTTCTTTTATTATCTACTACCACTATTATTTCACGGGATATTATAACATTAAAAAAATAGGAAGGACACAATTATTCAATAAAGAACAGTCAGTTAAATGAAATAAAAAGCTTACAACTTTTTCTTTCATTTTGTCATTTTGTAGTAGGTCCCTTCAACTTTGTCAAGGATCATTGTCCATCTATGCTAGGCAACCACCACACATCATTCCTGTACAAGCTAGGATGCATCTGTGTCCCATTAGCCTCAGGGCTTTTCCTTTGAATGGCTAAAACTGTCTTCAGAAAGTTGGGGTGTTACTAGGGTGCGGCCATGCTAGCCCATTGCCATCTAAACCCATTGATGTCTAGTTGATTCCGACTCATAGCAACCCTTTCAGGCAGAGTAGAATTGCCCCATAGGGTTTCCAAGGCTATAAATCTTTACAGAAGACTGCCTCATCATTCCCTCATGAGACAGCTGGTGGGTTCAAACTGCTGGGCTAGCAGCAGAGTGCTTATCCACTGTGCCACCAGGGCTCCTCCTGAGCCATGCTAACTTAGCTAAGTGGTTTTACATGGTAACAAAAATCCTGGGCAGGACATCTGATCCCTTGTATTTCAGTATTCGGAAGTCCTTGTCTCATTTAAAAGTTCTCAATTACCAAATACTAACTAAGCATTAGTAGTTAGGATCCATGTGAAAACACTTGTCTTAAAGGAGCTTAGATTTTACTTGGGAACCCACCCACTGCCATCGAGTTGGATCCAACTCAGCAACCCCTCCTTGGGTTTCCGAGGTGATATCACTATGGAAGTGGATTGCCCAACCTTCCTTCCGAAGAGTGGCTGGTGGGTTTGAACAACCAGCCTTCTGGTTAGTAGTCAAATGCCTTAGGCACTATGCCACCAGACCTCCTTGGGAACAGTATAGCACACATAAAAAGGCAAAAGAGTGACCCACACCATGTATTTCCCAGTGTTTTAGAGGAGGCAGAGAAGCTGGGTAGCCTAGAATGATCTTGGAAGAAAGAGATGAAACTGGAGCAAGGCATGCAGAATAGTCAGGATTGGGATGGGTGGGGGAAGGGAAGCTTCTAGGAGGGGGACAGTATGGCATCTGAGCAGAGGCAGGGATGCACAAGGAAAGCTTTGGAAATGTGATTACCCAACCTGACTGGAGTAGGGAGTTTAATTTGAGGAGAAATGTGGTAATCTGGATAGGGAAATTGGAGTCAAACTTTAGAAGACATTGAATGCCAAGCTAAGGACCAGCCACTCCTCAGAAGGAAGGTTGGGCAATCTACTTCCATAGTGATATCACCTCGGAAACCCAAGGAGGGGTCGCTATGAGTCAGGTCTGACTCGATGGCACATAACAACAACAACAGATGAAGAGGAGCCATTAACGGTTTAAATTGTTGTTGTTGTTGTTATGTGCCATCAAGTTGGATCCGACTCATAGCGATCCCTCCTTGGGTTTCCAAGGCAGTATCACTACGGAAGTAGATTTCCCCATCTTCCTTCTGAGGAGTGGCTGGTGGGTTTGAACCGCCAGCCTTCTGGTTAGCAGTCAAGTGCCTTAGCCACTATGCTACCAGAGAAGTCTCAATTTAGCCCACTGGCTCTGGGGAAAGGCTCTCTCTCTC